CAACGGTAGGTGGGCCCGAAAAAAAACGGTCCCATGGACCTAGTGCTCTGAAACCATGTTAGAATCTAGCAGCAGGAATGGATGCATTGAACAGAGATGTGGGTACATATGCTAACCCTAATTTGGGTTGTACCCCTTATGGGCTACCCCACTACAGCCTACACAGCACAAGCATTATCATAGTTTGACACTGCTATGTGTTTAATACCTACTCCATGCTATGGTACATAGCGTATACATTGTGTATATGAATCACCCTGTTTATATAGCCATCCTAAGTGTGTGTTGGGTGTAGCTAGAGTGCGCACATTGTAAGGACTTTCCTGTACCCATTGTCGGAATGAAGTAAGGACTGAGTGGCTACTTCGCCCCTGGTGTCGAAGTAGGTGGTATGTAGGAGAACATGCACACACATTGTGTGAGTACACTTTGCAGGTACAGTGAAGGTTGGTAGTCAATGTTCTGTGGGGAGAATATGCCACAGGTAACCAACTTGGGACTCGATAACGTGAATGGTAAAAAAAAAACGCGTACGGTCACTGTATCGGGTTTCCTGATGGGTTCGGTAAGCGGGGTCACTGATTCAGTCACTAACAACAGGTAAGAAATCACGCGAATGGTCACACATGAAACTCCCGCCAAAAAAACTTGAAACTCAACAAAATTCCCGCTCGCGCCCAACCAATCTGCGAACTTGTAAAAAAACTAAAACCCAATCGGAATCGGATGCGGTTTGTAAACGGATCAACCCTAAACACTTGGCGAGTTACGTGTTTAGGGTTGATCTTCCGAAAACGCATCCGGGTTCTTTTTGGGTTTCATTTTGTTTTGGCGGGAGTTTCATCTGTGACCATTCGTGTTTTTTTTTACCAGTTGATTGTGACTGATTCCGTGAAACGCTTTATCAGTCGCGTGAAAACACCCTTTGCAGTGACCGTACCCTTCATTTTTTTACCAAAAATGTTTTCGAGTCCCATGATGGTTACGAATGGCATATTTTCCCTGTTCTGTAGGTACATTGTCCAGGCGAGGACATTGTTTGGGATGGAAGGGTTAAAGCCCGGGCTCGGCGACGCTGTAATCGGATGCGGGTCAACGATCACAAAAACTAGGTTCGTTAATCGAGAAAATTTGGAGCTTGAAAATAGCGATGGCTGGGTTGTGAAGGAAACGGCGGCAAACCTGCCAATGGTAGGATGTGCGCGAGGCCAAGAGTTTATTGCCTCGTCTTTAACGCGACCCGAGATTATTAAGCACGGACATCGCGTCGTGGCTTATTACCCTGTTGTCGCAGGAAAGCCCGCTGTGAACAGGGGTGGCGAATCGCAAAGAAGCAATGATCGCGCTGTCGAAGAAGAGGTGGAAGCGGTTGACGTGGTGCTTGAGGTCGTGGGTTCGAATTCCGAAATTGACAGCAACGATTCCACCTTCACTGTTTCACATCACAAAAATGTGTATGTATGGAAATCATTCGACCATATCAAGGATTCGGAAAACGTTTGACAAACATTATGGAATCGTCAACATATCATTTGTATATCATTTTGGCCGACCCAAATGCTTTGCCGATGTTTTGATAATGGTTTATCAATGTTTCTATGGTTGACGTCACATGTTGTTTGTTCAGACATACATAAGGCTGAAAATAATACCATGTGAAAATGTGAAAGGTTGTCGCCATACAATTGTTTAAAGGAAAGTATTGAATTATGCTACCAAAATTTCTGATTTGTAAGTTAAAGCCCAAGGCCCAAATTGCACAAGATTAGTAATCTTGTGCAAGGTTGGGTGTTGGGGGCTATGATGTATCTGACGCTAGAAAGGGGTAGCGTCAAGCGTCAAAACGTCAAAACGCTTGACGCTCAGGGTAAAAACTTTAGGGCAGCCCGAAATCGAAAAAAATTTGTACTGAATCGGGAACAATCCGCGAAAAATCATTGAGTCACGATTTGCGACGAAATCGCAATCCCTAAAGCCAACTCGTCAGAAACACCTCACAACCAACCCCAAAACAAACCCACGCCCCCCACCACCCTTCACCGCACAGAATCTGTTCAACCCAACCCTCATGCCACAATCTCAACTCCGACGCTCATTTCACACGCTTTTCTAGGGTTTCAGTATCCGTCGACCAAATTCTCAGCATTCCCTCCTGCCAAACCGTTTTTTTCCCGACATGTCCGTCTCTCCGCTCACTCCCGTTCTTGTTGGTGGTGGAGTTCCTCTGCTGCCGCTTTGTTTTGCCTGCCCGGGCAGTGTTTTTTGCCTGCCCGCCAGAGCGTCAAACTGGGGGGATGCCCTCGGACATGGCGCGTCAAAGCGTCAAAAACGCTTGACGCGTCAGATCCATCATAGGTTGGGGGTGGGGTTGGTGAACGCGAAGTTCTGGGGGCACCTTGTGTTTGGGGCCCGAGAGTCCCGAATCGCAGAGTTGAGAAACTTGCACTGTAACCAATCGGATTGCTTCCAAAACTTCCGAAACCAATCAGATTGCTTCTACACCTTCTGTAACCAATCAGATTGCTTCACACGAAGAGACAGCACAAAAAACGCAAAGTGTGCAAGAATAGTATTCTTGGCCCGCGCGGTCCGCAATTTGGGCCTTGAGCTTTAAGTGTGGATAATTATGCTGCCTCAATTTTGAGCCGCAGTAAGATAAAAGATTGGTTCGAAGAATGGACACAGGCCTAGTTTCAGATATGGTCCGCTACCGGGATTTGAACCCAGGTATTCCGAATATCGAAACTGACTGGACTACAACGGCTGCGTTGTGATTTTGTAACAAAACTTTGTTCAGTTTCGACGCGCATTTGCCAATCACACTTTCCCAACCAACCCCAACCAGCCCAGAAATCGATCCAACCAATCGATCCGCCCAATCAATCCACCTCGACAATTTCCAGCTCAACCACCTTATCGGCCCAAATGTCCCCTAGCTCCCATAACCACTTAGCACTCCACCCCTCACGCCAGCACACGAGTGGAACTGGCTTCCCGTAATGTTATTATTCCTAAGCAGCTGTGACTTCGTTAGTTTGGTTAGCATACTTCTCCTTCTCCTAGCTTCTACGGCCGCCATAGTTTCTAGTTTCTACCGCCGCCATAGATCCTAGTTTCTACCGCCGCCATAGATCCTAGTTTCTACCGCCGCCATAGCTCCTAGTTTCTACCGCCGCCATAGCTCCTAGTTTCCACCGCCGCCATAGCTAGGAACGATTTGCAGCGCAACAACCAGCGAACCGCAGTGACCCTGCCTTTTTGCTTAAGAAGGCCAGTTACTTAGTGTATTGAGGGTATTTCTCACCTCGTTTTGATTATTTTTCTTCATGGGCGTCTGCAGGTCGCCGCGTCAATCTGCCCTTGCTTATCACTTATGGCTGTGTGTTCATATTGAGGGTGTCACATCGTATTCATGCTTTACTCCGACTTGATATCTACTTTAACCTCCTCATCCTGTTCGTTATGTCTCTCGGAGGCGTGCACTACAATATCTTTTAATTTAAATATATATTTTTCAGATATTTCTTCTCCCGGTAAGCATTTGATTGTACGTGGCTGGTCGTTTGTACTCACGGCTTTTGATGTGTTTACCTCAGACCAGATGCATGAGTCGTTAATTGAGCTTCTTCTCCCGGTAAGCATTTGATTGTACGTGGCTGGTCGTTTGTACTCACGGCTTTTGATGTGTTTACCTCAGACCAGATGCATGAGTCGTTAATTGAGCAGCAGGCATTGCTGTTTCCACAGCTCTAACGATTCGTTTTGGGGCGAGATCATGCTTAGATTAAGGTTTCGATTTACATGTGAAGGCGACTAGATCTTTGTTAAAGATTGGCAATCATTACTATGCTGTTGATGTATTGTAATTCTATAAATTAATAAATAATTATTTCAATGTTTACTATGAATGTTTGGCAGCCGTGATAATGTAACTTTTGGTACTTACTAAAATGATTTTTATACCTGATTGCCAACACATTAAAGCTCGGGTCTCAAATTTCCAAAGGTTTAACACCTGGTTGGGTTTGCCCGTCCGTGATTGGGTAACGAATGACGAAAGTTTTTACGAGCGGGTGAAAAGAACATAGCGAACTCCCCAACAATCAAGGCCAAAACAAACCTGGGTGGGCAGGTTTGGGTGTAAGACGAGCCTTGGGGGACAGGTTTGCGTCTGATTGAGAACTATGCGACCCACCCTGGCGACGCAATCACGTTTTGAGGTTGACAGAAGTGTGAAGTCAGAAAATGAGTGCCCACGCCAAGCAACCATACTCCCGTCGCTGAGCCGTAGTAACACCGAAATAGAAAGCCAGCTAAGCATTATTTCCCCCGTTTACGATTAGTATGAGAGCATCTTCCTTGATCGGGAATGAGAGACGGGATGGGCGGATTTAGAGTGGAAAACGCGGATTGAGATTAGGAAGGGCAGATTGCGACTACTACGGGCGGAATGAGAGTAGGGATGTGCGGAATGAGTTTAGGGTTTGCGTAATGCGATTTGGAACGTCGAAAACAGGTAGGAAGGGCGGTGTGAGATGAAGAAGGGCGGATTGAGAGGCAGAAGGGCGGAATGAGAGGATGAAGGGCGCGATGAGAGAACGAGGGGCGGAATGCGAGGAAGAACGGCGGATGGAGAGGAAAAAGGACGGAAAGAGAGGACGAAGGGCGGAATGAGGAAGAAGGGCGGAATAAGAGGAACAAGTGCGGAATGAGAGGAAGAAAGGCGGAATGAGAGGAAGAAAGGCGGAATGAGAGGAAAAAGGGCGGTATGAGAGGAAGAAGGGCGGAATGAGAGGAACAAGGGCGGAACGAGATTAAGAAGGGAGGGATGACAGTAGGAAGGGCGGAATGAGAGTATGAAGAGCGGAATGAGATTGCGGATGGGCGAAATGCGAGTAGTTATGATGGAATGAGATTATGGAAGGGCGGAATGAGATCAGGGATGGGCGGAAGGAGATTAGGGGTGGGCGGAATAAGGCGCGGGTTGATGGGGAGGGGGAATGGAGGGGGAGAGCAGGTGCTGCCCGAGGAGGGGGAAGAGAGACGTCGTCCCTTTTGACAGGGAGGTGAGTGCATGGGGGAGGGGATGTACTAGTGGTGAGGGTGGTGGGGAGGAGGAGGGGCAGGGGCTGTGGCATGTGGTGCGGGCATGCGGGGTGGAGTCAGCAGAGGGGCTGAGTGGCGTGGTGGACAAGTGGGGCTGGACCGCCATGCATGTGGCTGCTCGGAATGGTGACTCCCCCGTGGTCAGTCTCACCTGCCTCCCCGCCTGCACCCATGCAGCACAGCCATGCACCAGCTCTCACCCATGCAGCACAGCCATGCACCAGCTCTCACCCATGCAGCACAGCCATGCACCAGCTCTCACCCATGCAGCACAGCCATGCACCAGCTCTCACCCATGCAGCACAGCCATGCACCAGCTCTCACCCATGCAGCACAGCCATGCACCAGCTCTCACCCATGCAGCACAGCCATGCACCAGCTCTCACCCATGCAGCACAGCCATGCACCAGCTCTCACCCATGCAGCACAGCCATGCACCAGCTCTCACCCATGCAGCACAGCCATGCACCAGCTCTCACCCATGCAGCACAGCCATGCACCAGCTCTCACCCATGCAGCACAGCCATGCAGCCCGCTCAACACTCTCTGAACCCACCGTCCATCACGCGTGTGCACTCATCCCTCCCCGTCCACGTGCCTGCACTCACATGCACCTTCAATAATGTCGCAGGCATGGACCGCACTCACCCTGCTTCCCGCTTCTCTCCCTCCCCGCCGTTCTCCCATGCATGTGCCTGCAGCTGCAGGCGCTGTTGCGCATGGGCATGCCAGCGGGGGTGTGCAGCACGCGCAACGCCACCACGCCACTGCACGTGGCGGCGTATGGCGGCCACGTGGACTGCATGTGCCTGCTGGCGGCTGTGCGTGCCTGGCGGCTGTGAGTGCCTTGCGGCTGTGAGTGCCATGATTGGTTCAATGCAAGAACGGTAGAAAGTGCTTCGCTCGTTTCTTTCTCCACCCAGCTTCTTAGCCCTCTTGCCTTCATGCGCTCTACCCTGCGGTGCCCTCTGCACCCCGCTTGAATTGCTCTGGCTCTGCATCTGCTTCCAGAGCCGCTTTCCTCCTCTTTGTATCCCTCCGCCTTCTCTCATCCACCATCCGCCCCCCGCTCTCTGCCCTCTGCCCTCCCCCAGGGACTCCATTACACAATGCAGTGACCAAGCAGCAGTGGGAGGCAGTGAGATGACTTGCACACCAGGGAATAGAGCCAGCAGAGGTAGAAGCAGCGGGGGCCAACCCCAAGGCGGTTCAGATAGTGTGGGAGGAGCATGCGCGGCGGGCAGGCCAAGGAGGGGAGAGGGGGCATGGGTTTTGGAAGGATGGTGGTGTGGGTGCGAGCTGAGTGGGTGAATTCCTTGTGCTTGATTATCACCATGATGTATGATTGCCTGCTGCCACTGCTTAGTGGCAGAACACAAGGAGGACAGGGTGCTGAGCAGTGGGAAGGGGCGGGAGGGGGGGGTTATAGAGCCGCTCCCAGGGCAGTGGGGAAGGTGAGAGGTGGGGATGAAGCAGGGTGGATGCTTCAGTAGCGCTTGTGGGCCACTCGCTGCTGCTCGCTGCCCGCCTCCTCGCCTCCACTTGATTACCCTCTGCCTTGATTCTGTGCTCTATTTCTGAGTGCTCATCTTGTCTCCCCTTTCCCCTCTCATCTCCACTCTACCCCATCCCTCTTCCTGCCCTCCTGTCCCCATCCTTCTCCCTCAGGAGAGCCGTACACCAACTGCACCGCTCTGAACCCATTTGTGCAGTGGAATCTGCAGCCGCTGCTACCAGCCACTCCCCCCTCCTTCACCCTCACCTCACCACCCCCACCCGCCTTCACGCCGCCATACGCCCTCTCGTCCATCTGCTTGTGGACGTCCCTCTCCGCCATCGCACCTGGTCGCACACAAGCAACAGCCCTCCTGCCACTGCCGCCACACACAAAGCCTGCTGATGCAGATGCTGGCAGTGGAGGCGAGAAGGCAGTGGGGGGCGCAGTTGGTTCGAGTCAGGGCGTGCAGGGGGAGTGGGCAGTGGCGGGGTATGAGGCGATGCGTGTGGTGCAGGTGGGGGGTGGGTGGCGCCAGGGCAGCTATGGCCTGCCCTCCTCCCTCGCTGCCTCTGCTGCACCTGCTGTGTCTGGAAGGCAAGGTGACTTGTCTGGAAACCTTTGTTGCACTTCTTTGTAGTGATCAACTGAATGGCTCAGTTCAGTATCCTAAACACTGAAGTGATTTTTATAAAGAAGCATCCAACATTGATACATGTCATGGGTACTTGTCAAACCGGTACTATTTAATAGCTAAAGCTTAACAAAATTCATGCGTGGCGGACCAGTTCTGACAAAATCCTGAGTGTCAAGGCTGAAGCAGCTGGAGAAGAGGGAGGCTGAAAAGGAGGGGAGGGAAAGGGGGAAATGAGGGGAAGGAGTGAGTAAATTGATGGGGAGCACAAGGGGAAATTATTTTATAGCAGAGGGGGTTCTGTATTGACCTGGTGCAGTAGGGGAATTGATGGGAAAGCCGAGCTGTAATTTATGGGGAGCGGAGGGGGGGATAACAGGGAGCAGAGGGGGGAATAAGAGGGAGCAGAGGGGGGAATGAGAGGGAGCAGAGGGGGGAATGAGAGGGAACAGGGGGGGGGGAATGACAGGGAGCAGAGGGGGGAATGAGAGGGAACAGGGGGGGGGGGATGATAGGGAGCAGAGGGGGGAATGAGAGGGAGCAGAGGGGGGAATGAGAGGGAGCGGAGGGGGGAATGAGAGGGAACAGGGGGGGGGGGGGGGATGATAGGGAGCAGAGGGGGGAATGAGAGGGAGCAGAGGGGGGAATGAGAGGGAGCAGAGGGGGGAATGAGAGGGAGCAGGGGGGGGGGGAATGACAGGGAGCAGAGGGGGGAATGAGAGGGAGCGGAGGGGGGATTGGGGGGAAATTAGGGGAATTTATCGCAAACTGGTATATCACCCTTCCTTCCCCCCTCTGTCCTCTCCTCCTTCCCCCCCGCAGAACATGATTGCATACAACACACAAGAAACAGGTGGTGGTACGGTGTAAAGCATGGACTAGCTTTAGCTGCGCCTCAGCTTGCTCTTCTGCTTCACCACTGAAAATTAGGGGAGTGGAGTAGGCAGAAAGAATTGTGTGAATGAACATGGGGGAGGTGGTGTGAGGTGCCAAGGGAACAACTGCAAGGGAACACAAGCAAGCGCACATGATGAAATAATGTATGGGGAGACAGTGATGGGTGCACGTGCATGGGAACTAGAGGGTGGAAGGTGAGGAGTGAGGGGGAAGGGGAGGGCATGAAAAGGAAGGGAAGGGTTGAGAAGGGATGGGGAAGGAAAGCGCAGGGCAGGGAGGGAAAGGCAGGCATTGGGAGGGCAGGTGACAACTGGGCAGAGGGTGGGGGGAAGGAGAGTGCGAGTGGGAGAGGACGGAGAGAGAGAGTGCGGGAGGAAAGGAGAGTGAGAGTGCGGGTGCCAGGGGATGGGGGGAAGCAGGAAAGGGGATGGGGGGAAGCAGGGAAGGGGATGGGGGGAAGCTGGGAAGGGGATGGGGGGAAGAAGGGGAGGGGATGGGGGGAAGCAGGGAAGGGGATGGGGGGAAGCAGGGAAGGAGGGGTAGCACCGGGGGGAAAGGAGGAGAAGCAGGGGGGGATAGGAGGGGTAGCACCGGGTCTCCCCCCCTCTCAGCGCACCTTCTCCCCCCCTCTGTCCTCTCCTCCTCCCCCCTCTCAGCGCACCTTCTCCCCCCCTCTGTCCTCTCCTCCTCCCCCCTCTCATGTAGTGCTTGACATACCCGCACCATGCGCGATTACGTGACGAATGGCGCGTGAGATTACAGGCGCATTCGCGCTGATGCTAAAGAGGCGCCTCATGCCTATAGCGGGGCGAGCGCTGAGGCTCAGGTGGCGCGTGATGCCTACAGCGGGGCGCACTCAGCTGCTTGCGGTGTGCGCGCTGCTTACAGCTGGGTGCGCGCCCCTTGAAGGGAGGTGTGCGCGCGCTCACCGGCAGGGTACACACCTTTCCCGCGTCTCGGCGGGCCTTAGTCCCGCGACTTCGGTGATATCGCCCCATTGCCGCGTTTGCCGCGTTTGGCTCGTCCCTATCGTCCTTTCCACCCTTCATGCTACTGCGACCTTCCCCTTTCACCTAATAAGGGCGGTTGATGAATGGCGATGAACCCCACGCCGGCAGTTTTTGGCGAGGAGAGGACGAAGGTGGGGATTGGACACGCTAAATTTGATGATTTTCCCGTGTTCGGGCTTAGAGAATGCGGGTCACGGAATGCGCCAAGGTCTATAGGCGCACGGTTTCCCCTACATCATGATCGCGACTGAGTTTTCAAGGCTAGCTATACTAAAAGACGTGGCATATGGCTGGTAAAACACTTGAACTGGTGCCTACACGAACCGTTTTGTCAAAGTTGAGAGTTCTGAGTCTCATAATTCTGAGAGCTGTAAATGCTTGGTTTGCACGGGGAAGTGTGCGACGATGCCTCTGTTGTCGCACGTTTTTCTGTACACCTGTAGATTGGTTCGTGCAGGTGTGTTTCCCAACCTGCGTTGTCGTATTCCTGTCCCAACCAACTTTGCAACACGTTGTTTCCCTTTGGTTTGGTTTTGCCTGGAACGAGGCCCTGTTTCAAACCTCTCCCAACCAACCTTCCCAAACCACCCCTTGCCTTGGTGTGCTTTGCGACAAACCCAGCTGTTACCGGATCCCAAGCGTTTAACACTTGGTCGGAAGGGTGAAATTTGAGACGCGAGCTTTAAAGAGTTTTTATACCATCCTAAAGTCTACAAGATTACCCCTGTCTGAAGTCTTTCAAAACTTGTGAAGTCATCTGAAAATCACCTGCAAAGCATTCGACAAAGCATTCGGAAAAATGCTTATACTTTCACCTGGAAGCATTCCGAACCCTACGTTTTAAAAGCATTTGAAAACAGTTCAAAACTACTCCTTCCAGCCGGTTTCTGGACGCATGATTTTTGTGATGCAGAAGGAGCTGGAACTGCAGAGGACGCAGGAGCGGTGCAGCAGCAGCATCAGCTGGTGGTGGTTCGTGCGAAGATTCTGGTCGCAGCGGATGGCGTGCGATCAGCTGTGCGAAATCAAATGATCGGCGACTCGCCTCGATACCTGGAGCAGTTTGGTTGGAACGCGCTTGTGCCAAATCCGTCAAGTGCAAGAGTGTACCCACAAGAAGATCAGGAGCTGCTTGTATTGACGGATAAGGTTACTGGTTACCAGATATTTCTGTTTGACGCTGGGCACGGGAAGACCTTCTGGCAGGTACTATGCTCTAAGGTAGCATGCTAATGCATGCTACCATGCATTTACTTTGCACTTTCTTTTCTTTCAGCCTTTTTTCTTCCTCTTCTTTTGTTCTGATCCAGTTCAAGACAGCCTGGAATCACATCCATCCCACAGCATCCTGCTAAAATGTTTATCCAGTCAACCCAATACACTTTCCCAAGTTCAGGTTCGCTCTGCTGATCCTGATGGCAAGCTCAAAGCAGAGCTCACGCAAACACCGGTGTCAAGATCGTGTGATGTGCCACGTCAGCAAAAATGTCGCAGACCCCTCAGCGCATTCCACCTGGCATACTGTGCTCCAGGCGGTTACCACAACGGACCCCGGAAACATATACGAGCGGTGGATGATGGACCGGCCTCCTCCGAAAGATTCTTGGAGCGACTCCAAGTGTGGTAACAGGGTTGTTCTTATGGGGGATGCTGCACATGCCATGCACACTGGTCCAGGGCAAGGGGCTCAGACTGCCTTTGAAGATGCTCTCCAGTTGTCTCTCTGCCTTGCTGACATCAAGGATATGCTTGCCGAACCTGTTGCCGTGGCTGCTGCGGTCCGGGAATACGAGGCTCGGCGGATCGATCGGTGTGTGAAAATCCATGCGTACGCCACTGGATGTCGAGACTTAGGCAAGGGTGAATTCGAGTATCGAGAGAGTTGGTACAAGAGGAAAACCCTAAGGGGTTATACCCCACACTATCTACCCCACTACAGCCTAGCAATAACACTAACATATATATAAATGTTTGACACACCCCCATAGGCAAAGTGGGGGAGAGCAGGAGATCACAAGACCAGTCAAGAAAAGCAAAGCAAGCTCAGGGTGGATCACAACGTCACCACACACACTGAGCACAAGTAAAGGTCCACAAGGCCAGTTCACATGCAGAGACATATATGCAACACAAACATCACAGTGAACTCTACCTAGCAATGCAAGCATGCAGGTATATATATATATATGTATCACAGTACAAGCAAGGCCTACAGCAAGTGAGGAAAAGTGGGCACAAGCCCTAGCATAGTGCAGAAACGCTGATGATCACCAGCCTGAAGTGCCTTGGTGAATATATCAGCAGTGTTGGCCCGAGTGGCCACGTAACGCAGATGAAGCTGACCACGCTGCTGCAACTCTCGAGCCAGGAAGTAACGCAGAGCGATGTGCTTCGTTCTGTGCTCCAGTCTGTGCTCCTCGCAGGACAGCAGCGAGCTGCGTGGGCGGCAGACTCGGCGCGCGGCTCAGTAGCGGGCCGCGCTGGCGACAGACGCGGCGCGCGGGGCCTAAGCGGGCCGCACACGGCGGCGGGCTACTCGAGCTCGACGCGGACTGCGCGAGCGGGCCAGCGCGCGGCGCTACAGCGGGCTACGGAGTGGCTGAGGCGCGCGCGAGCTCCTAAGGCGGCTGCAGTAGTGACGCGCGCGAAAAATAAAGGTGACGCGCGCAAGCAGCCGAGGCGCGCGCGGGCAGCAGGCAGGCAGTGAGGCCGTAGGTGAGGTAACTTAGGTAAAGGTGGGCCCTATTCTTAGGTCCTAGAGACCTTAGTGCTCTGATACCATGTCGAGACTTAGGCAAGGGTGAATTCGAGTATCGAGAGAGTTGGTACAAGAGGAAAACCCTAAGGGGTTATACCCCACACTATCTACCCCACTACAGCCTAGCAATAACACTAACATATACAGTATATAAATGTTTGACACTGGAATGCTCGGGTTTGGAGAGGAGGGGAAACTTGTGAAGGCGCTTTCTCCGCCCGAGAAATTCTCTCGGGCGAACAGGACAAGTAAGAACGACCTAACTTACTACAAGAACGCAACCACACCGACTAAGTTAATCGGCTACGTCGACGCTGATCACGCTGGCGACTCCGACAATA